CCAACTTGGACCTTCCAGACACGAAGACGAAGATGACGCCGCTGATTGCGGCCGCGGGCCGCGGCAACTTTGAGATTGTGCAGCTGCTGGCGCACAAGGGCCACGCGATCAACGCCGTCGACGCCAACGGCAACACAGCCCTGTGCGTGCACCTCGCGATGGCGACGGGGTTCTCATGGTGGCTGCTGTAGGCACTGGACGTGCATGGGCCAGAGCCAAGACGCGCCCGAGATCGTCGCCTTGCTCTACCAGCGCGTACGCCACATCAGACGAAGGTCCTGCTCCACGCAACATGTGTATAGGGCGCCCAAAGCCCATTCCCAACCACGCCCGGCGACCTCCCCTTTGCACGCGGAAGCAGCCCACTGCGATCCGAAAAAGCCGTGGCCGTCACCCGTCGGAGCGTTCCTCTCCGAGAGCTTCCCAGACACCGTGGCGGCGACCAACCGTCGCGGCTTGACGGCTGCGGCTCTGTACGCGCGCAGTGACGACGGTGTCGACGAAGATGATGCCGTCGACGAACCACCTGTGGCGACGAAATCCAAGGGCAAGAAGCAACCGCCCGTGCGGAACTTGGCGGAAGAGAAGAAGCTGGCGGAGAACGCGCAGATCGCCCGCGCCGGTGACCATCCCATCGTTTCTTGATGTGGAAAGCTCATGCATCTCCATGGGTAGCGGCGATTGCTCGGACGAAGAAGCGATGGACGCGCCAGGTCCAGGAAGAGCCCGAAGAGACCGAAGCGACGGAAGAGGAGCAGGCGGCGGCGGCGCAGGTCGCGATCGAGAACACGACGAGCCCATTGACGATGGCCATCATCGTGGCGGTCATTGTCGGTTTCTTTGCCGTCCTGTACGCGGTGCTCGACAACATGGCCAAGCCGGCCAAGTAGATCGATGGCAGCTGGTCGCCTCTAACGCACAAACATGCTTCACGCTGCTCGTACGGCGGCACGCCCACGTTGCCTTCATCGTCTTCGCCTGTAGGAGCTGTCAATGCGGCGGCGAGCGAGGTTGACATGGCGCTGCCACGCCTGCGTTGTCGCTGTCGTGGCACGACCTCTGCGCCCAGGATTTTTGCAACGTGTATCCGGATATGCACATTATCCGACACCTCGATGTTTTCCCAACAATTATATGACTTGATATTTGTAAGCACGATTCGATTATAAAAAGCTCGTATCCACAAAGGTGCCAGTTTGTAAGTTTCTGGGCATGGCCGATACCCTCCTGGCGCGGCTGGACCGCTGGGGCGCCGAGCAGCCCGAGAAGGTCCGCTTCCGGCCGATCGTGCGAGCATGGCCCTAAGCACCCTTCTTGCATAGACGGTCTATGCCTTTGCGGACGACAATGGCATCATCACGGCCTCGTTGACGTACAAGGTAGAGGCGCCGCCATGCGACCAGGCTCCTACAAGATGCCTGTAGGAACTGGACGAGCGTACGCTCAACCTCGCCCGCTGGATGCGTGCACCGGCGTCGTCCAAAGGGTGCGAAGCTACCGACGAGCACGCGTCTGGACTCATTTGACGTCGTAGCATGGGTCTGTCGCCGGACGAAAAGGTGCTGCTCGTGTATCCGCCGGGCCTTGACTTTATCGTGGCCTTCCTTGCGTGCTTGCGCGCTGGCGTCGTTGCCGTGCCCGTCTACCCTCCAGGTACCAGCATTGCGAAAGCGTTTCGTGTCTCATAGCATTAGACCCGCGCAAACTGCGCAAGGACATTGTCATGTTTACGACCGTGTGCTCAAACGCCGGCGCCAAGACCGCGCTCACGTGCGCGAGCTACAACCACGTCAAGAAGATCCTCGATATCAAGCAAAAGATGACGTTCTCGGAGCGCTACCCATGGCCTGACCTCGATTGGGTCGAGACGGACCGGCTCATCCACGCGCCTGCGCCGAGCTCGACGACGCTTGCAGCGCCGAGCGCCGACGCCCTTGCGTTTCTGCAGTACACGTCTGGATCGACGTCCGATCCCAAGGTAGGAATCGTCTCCTAATTGCAAAGACGCAAAGAGACGTAGGGCGTCATGATCTCGCACGGCAACCTCACGAGCAACTTGCATCTGATTGTTGACGCGCTCGCGGCGCGCCAGGACGCGGTCGTTGTCTCGTGGCTTCCGCAGTACCATGACATGGGGCTCATCGGCGCCTACTTGGGCATTCTCTTCTCGGGTTCCGTCCCTGCGCAATGATGGTGCACATAATGACGACTCTCTAGGCGGCCACGGCGTCTACCTCTCGCCCTTCTCGTTCATCAAGAACCCGTCGCTTTGGATTGCGCTCATCGCCAAGCACAAGGCAACGCATCTCCAGGCGCCCAACTTTGCGTACGCCCTCTGCGCGCGCAAGTTCAAATCGCCGTCGCCGAGTCTCGACCTCTCGAGCGTCCGCCACATGATCAACGGCGCCGAGCCCGTCGATGTCCACGCGATCGACGCGTTCTATGCGACGTTTTCACCGTTCGGGCTGCCGCGCGGCGTCATTCGACCGACGTACGGGCTTGCCGAACACACGGTGTACGTGTGTGACTCGCCGCCGACGCTGACGCACCTCCGTGTCGTCAAATCGGTGCTTGAGTCGGAGGACAAGATGGAGAAGGCGACGGCGGCGACACCCGCGAACGACGTCAAGGACATGGTCGGGTGCGGCGAACCCTCCGTCGACGTGCGCATTGTCAACGCCGACACACGCCGGACGCAGCCCGACGGCCTCGTCGGTGAGATCTGGATCCGCAGCTCGTCGACGACGCAAGGCTACTTCAACTTGCCGGCGCTCACGCAAGAGATGTTTCGCGCGTCGCTCGCCGACGCTCCGGATGTGCACTACATGCGAACAGGCGACCTCGGTGTTTTTTGCGAGCGCCAGGTACGCTTCTGGCACTCTTGACATGAAGGTCCGCACACTTGGCATGGTCTAGCTCTTTGTCTGTGGGCGTCTTAAGGACTTGATCATTGTGCGCGGACGGAACCACTACCCGCAAGTACGCAACCTCGCGTGGTGGCCTCGGATCTCACGTGCTTCGTAGGACATTGAAAAGTCGGTCGAAGCGTTTGAAGCCATTCGCCCCGGCTGCTCGGCGGCGTTTGCGGCGTCGCTGAACGGCCACGACGACGAGATGCTTTGTGTGCTGGCCGAAGTCCGTCCCGAGGCGTCGCAGCCGCTACCAGAGCTCGCCAATGCGATGCGGAGCGCGATTGCAGCCGAGCACGGCGTGCAGCTCACTGGCGTCGTCTTTGTCGAGTCGCGCTCGATTCCCAAGACGACGAGCGGCAAGATCTCGCGCCGGCGCTGCAAAGCCGCCTTTTCAAGCCAATCCCTGAACGAGCTCCACCGCTCCATCAACCTCGACGACCGGCTGCTTGACGAGACCCCGGTGCCGGCGAATCCGCCAGGTCCCAAGCGCACGTACCCGCCCTTTGAGAGCGTACCGGCATCGGCGGTCAAGGCCTTTCTCTGCACCGAGATTGCGCAGCTCCTCAACGTGCCCAAGACGCACGTGACGGACGCCACGACGCTCCATGAGGTACCTCGACACCTGCCACGCAAGCACTCATCTTGAATGTAGCTGGGCATGGACTCGATGGGGCTCACGCAGCTGCAAGGGATCATCGCCAACGAGTACGGGGTGCATGCCCCCGAAGAGGTGCTGTACAGCGAGACGACGACGATTGACGGACTCTACGAGGCGCTCAAGCGCGCGCCGCCGTCGTCGCCGCACCCGGCGCCCAACGTTGGTGGCGACAACCAGACGTCGTTCCTAGAAGACCCGCCGGCGCCGCCGCGGTCGCGCATGTGCTGTGGCTGCATTGCGATTCGGTAGCTGTAGTTGTGCAGCAATCTCGCGGTATAGAAAGACAGCAAACAACGACGACGACCCGTTCTACTTGTGTGTTGGCCACGAACCCTATTGAAGGACAAAGTTGTAGCTCGGAGCAATGCAAGTTCTGCAACAAGCGACATCGTCATTTCGCCCCATTTCCCGAGACCCATACAATAAGCGTGTACTCGAACCAAGGGAACATCCCTTGACGCAAGCGTAGTCCGAGCACTGTGACATGTCGAGACCCAAAGCTTTTGATCGAGTGTTTCTAGTCCAAAAGTCGATGTCTGATGTACAAAATGATTTCAAAAACAATTTACGAGACGGGCACTTGGGTCGGAGGCGCCCGGCGCTGGCGCACGCTCTCTTTCGGCGTCGGCGGCAGAATAAGCTCCGACTCGTATACTTGGGGGCCATCATCATCGTCCTCGTCGAGCATGTCGTCGGCCGAGTCGTGCTCCTTGGGCTCGTCCGGCAACAACTGCTCTTGGTCGTCGTCGGTCGGGATGACGTCGACGCCGTGGAGCGTCGGGAACGTGATGTACAAGTACAGGACAAAGCACCAAAAGACCTGGACGAGCGCGATATTGAGCGTCGCCACGATCGCCGTCGTCAAAAACCAGTGGTACATGAGGTAGCGGAGGCCCGAGAGCTGCGCGAGGATGCTTACGCTGGCCGACACGATCTGCACGCGCGGGTGGCTCAGCTCGACGTAAATCTCCTCGACGGCGCGGACGCGGCGCTCTTCAAAGCCGTTCATGACCACGAGCGTCCGGTGCTGCGTCAGCGCCGCGTCGTACCCAAGCGTTAGCGTCGGGACGATCCACACAAACTGCGCGACGAGGTCCACGAGCCAGTGCGACGTGCGGACAAAGGTCGGGCGTGCGCTCGTCGCCAACGGCGTCTTCCTATGCATCGTAAGAAGACATGCAGAAGGAGAGGATGCAGCACGTACCCCTCGCCAAGGGCTTGCGTGCGCACCATAAACATGCCAATGTGCTCGTTCACGGGCGTCTGGGCAAACTCAAAGTCGAGCACGACGTCGTACTTTGTGAGGTGCGTCAACGGCAGCGACTTGGTCTCGCTGACTTCGACCGCGTCGGCATAGTGCCACTGGTCGCGGCCGTTCTCGCCCGTGGTGAGCTCGAGCTGAGCGATCGGCAAGTGCACGCGGTTGGAGCTCACGTACGGCGACTCGGCCGAGAGCTGCGCAAAGTCGCTGTGCACGCCATAGTCAAAGAAGAGCGGCCTACACGAGTCGTAATGACGATGCATACATGGCGGCTGGTAAGGACATACCGCTGGAGCACTTTGGCCGGCATGATGAGGTAGTAAAAGCCGCCGTAAATGGCCGACGCCGACGAGAGAAGGAGGATCGCAAAGACAAGCAGCTGCACGCAGCGCATGATCCAGCGGAAGGAGAAGCTCGAGAGGTCCGAGATGATCTCGGCAAACTCATACCGGCGCAGGCGCAGGAGGCTCTCGTGCACGTGGGCCACGATGATGGGCCACGACGCGACGACGAGCGACCAAAGAAACTTGACCGGCCGCAGCATCGCTCTCGCTTACTATGTGCAAACTCAAAAAAGCAAAACTGGCGCCTCGTTTTGAGAAAGTGCACTCTCGTAAAAAAACGACCAGTCCATTGCATTTGATATTTGTATGGAATTCTATAAACATGCAAGGGATTCGGCGTTGACAAAACAGCGCGCTTCAAGAAATCGCGCGAGATGGATCCCATGGACGCCATCGTCGACTTCCACACT